CATCACTCTACCAGCCATGGGAGTTGAACCAGTGACCTTCTGATCACAGGCACAGTCCAAACCCATAGAGCAGGGGGTGTGAAACTGCAGTCCCCGAGGGCCGGAGCCCTGTGTATCTTAGTTCTTCCCCTGTTCTACCACAAACGACTCAAGAGCTGTGTGGTAATTAGCACAAGAAGTTGAATCAGGTGGGTTAAACCCAAAAATGTGCAGGGCTCCGGCCCCCCAGGACTGGAGTTTGACACCCCTGCCATAGAGCTTCATCTCATCGCACAAATGCATCTATTAAAAAAGTATATGTCAATACAAACAAAAGTAAATTTCATCACACATCTGAATGTGCGTAAAGACATGTGCATAAGCGCGGCCTTCATCCTCACCCTCAGCACCACTTTCATCTTCAGCGTGCACTCAGGCCCCGAGTTACAGAGGGGGAACCGCTGGTCGAGTGTCATGTCTTCAGTGTCCAGCAGGCGGCGCAGGGGGAGGGACAAGGTGCCCAGGGAGCAGGAGTGCTTGTCGTCCTTCACCTGGAGAGAGATGCACGCGGCCGGATTAATGTCACTTGCAGATAGAGACATCCACGTTTTTGTCATTCGCTGGGACAGGAAAGCGTAGTGACATGGAATATAAAGATATAGACACACATTATCCTGGTATGGTTGCTCACACACACTCACACACACACACACACTCACACAATGTTGGTGTACCTATCAAAATGGGGACCGTCCATTCATTTCTACGGGAAAAACCCTAATCCCAATCACGACACCCTTAACCCCTACCCATCCCTAACCTTAACCATAAGTAACCAACCCAAATACAAGACTTTTGGCATTTTTACTTTTTTGATTACATTCACAGATTTTTACAGAACTGAGGTTATCCAAATGGGGACCTCAAAAGATGTCCCCAAAAGTAGGGAAATTTCAGGTTTTACTACACTTTGGGGACAATTTGGTCCTCAAATGTGATCTATGCAAACCCACACACACACACACACACATTCCTGTACCTCCACCTCCAGCTCCTGACTTCTGGGATTGTGTATAAGGAAGGTGAAGGCCTCCTCCCACACCGGCTCATTGGTCTTGTGTCGGGTCTACGACAGGATAAGAAGGTCGCATGTATTATATCTGTACACTGGAGCCAAAAAGCGCAGCGACATTGCAGACACAGGAAGGGGGCGCCCTTGCTCCCATGCCCTTAGGACCCACTCACCTTGCTCTCGAAGGTTTTGTGTCCAACAGTAAACTGGATGAATGGGTTGGGATCACTGCTCACCTTCTTGCCGGACTGGAGGTTAAAACAAATTAACGTAATTCCAAAATGGCCGCCGTACAAGCTACTAGAACAAAACAAGCCAGCCAGAGTTCAACGGGCCTCGCGGTGCCTCGCGGACCTCAGCCCATTAGCCGTTTCACGTGAAGGGAAACGGGAGTGTCGTGAAGGAAATGACCCTGCAGAAAGTCATCATCTACTCAACATCAGACAACTTCGGCTGCTTGATGTGTTCCTTGACGCTCCCAAGTAGTAGCACTTACAGGCAAATTTTACTGTCTTTCATTGTTTGAAATGACTCTGAGGTGACTGACTTGGATGGACGTGGGGATTAATTCCTGCCAGATCTCTGGAAGCCCTCCCAATTAAAATAGTCTGACAAATGCTGGACTCTCAGGAGTGAGACTGATTGCATCTAAATATACCACAGAACTCGTGACGACGACATAAATATATTGATTCCATATATACATGTATACAAACTAAACATATACTATGTATATACCAATATATCCGGAGTACGACATTACAAGCGACGTAATGTCGACATGTTCGTCTAGCCAGCTGTGGTCGCCGGCCACCTGTGGCAAACGGAACGTTCGGCAGAAACTTCTGGAATCCTTCCGTTTCTAGGCTGACTGCATGTATGACATAAGAACTACACCAGTCAATAATCCCCTTGGCGATTCCTTCGCCGAGGAGGTAAATTTAGCTCTCGTAACATCCCACAACGCGGAGAGGAGGAAAAGCCCAGAGCAGCGTTTTAATCGTTTTATCACTTGGGCCCCTGAACCTTGGCAAAACCTTGATGGTCATATCAAAAAGGGAGATCAAACTGGGACAAGGAGGAGTAAAACTGGATAAAACCAGGCAAACTGGATAGATTGTATACATGCCCTACTGAGACCAAGAAGTGAGTTTTTCATATCAAGAGCTTGAAGGTCATTCCATTAGGATGGTTAGATATACAGCATGGAACACAGATTCAGTTCACAGGCGTTAGAGGTTTTAGTCGGTTCTGTTAACATACCAGCTGGGCAAACAAATGCACAACCTGCCTCACATACTGTCCTAAAGAAGAGTGTTAGTTACTCATGGTCAGATCTGTACAAGGGAAGAAACGTTCCTGAGGGAAACGCAAAGGAGGGACGAGTGTGCACTGGGTGGGTGGTGACCGGGTCAGTGGTGTGCTCAAGGGCACTAGTGCAATCACTAAATGTCACGTTGACATGTATAGTCGTAGTCACACATTAGGACTAAGTGTGTGGTCATAGTGTGTCGTGTCATGACAGTGTGTGGTCCTACTGTGTCGTGTCATGACAGTGCGTGCTCATACTGTGTCGTGTCATGACTGTTTAGTGTTTCATGCCATGACAGCATGCGGTCATAGCATTTCATGTTATGACATATGGTCATAGAGTGTCACGTCATGATAGCGTGTGGTCATAGCTGGTCACATCATGATAAAGTATATGTGGTCATAGCGTATCATGTTGTGACAGAGTGTGTCAGTTCGGTACTGAGTGCCGTCACGCCATGTCCCGTCATGAGGAACCCTTACAGGGAGTGCCGTGTTCTGCATGAGGAACCCTTACAGGGAGTGCCGTGTTCTGCATGAGGAACCCTTACAGGGAGTGCCGTGTTCTGCATGCCTTGGTTCAGGCCCACATGTGTGTTCTGGTACTTTACCTTGAGGGCCTTATTGACTGAGCTTCTCTTCAACCCGTCATGGTTGAACTCTAACGGATTGCGCTTTCCAGGCAGGAGAGAATGAACACACCAGGGTTATTTAGGCATGCAGAGATGGGGGACGTACATCAAAACCAGGCCACAGAAACAGACACACAGACACACACTGACATGGTTATGGAGTTAAAGTAACCCCCCCCCCCAGACAGAAAACACCCAACCACAGCACCGAAAACAGGCACAAACTAAAGGAAGCAACACAAAACAGCGAAAGGACAAGACAGATGTGATGGCGGGTTCAGCGGCGAGGGAAAGGAATGATTAGAGGGTTTTGAGTCTCTGCTGTCAGGATTAGATGAGATTCCCACAAAAATAACTGGACTTGTGTAGGTTGGGTTGGTCGAGATAAAGTTGTGGTGTACAGACTCCTAGCTCTTCCCAGAATGACAGCTTGACTTGGGAGGAGAGACTGTACAGCCCCTGATGAAGTCTGACAGTGATTAAAAAAAAAAAATACACAAATAATAACAGCCGAAATGAATCACGTGACAAAGGGATGACTGCTCAGCTCAGTCTGTATGCCTTCAGTGGCTCTAACTGTGGAACAAAAGGACTTAATGGAACGAACAGGGAGGTGGTGTGGGCCACACTGGACATTTCTGGCATGCATATTATGACTGGAATTCGCAGAGGGGTTATGTGTGCACAGAGAAGCCTTACCCAGCATGCAATGGGCTTGCTCAGAATGCGAGGCAGCTGATAGGACAGAAGCAGCAGCAGCAGGATGGGGGAAAAAAATACAGCCAATGAGATGAAGGGATTATGACAGCATGGTCCAGAAAGAGGTCAGACTAGAGGGGTCATGTTTATCCATTTAAAAAAGGACTGTTTTTTTTTTTAAATCTTTTCCCCAATTTTACCTACATGGCTTCCGCCAATAAGTTCACAACATTACTGAACTACAAGCAGGTAAACATCACTGAAATGCCGCTGGCTTCGAAAACACTGCGCATGTTCAGCCGTGTTAAGCATCCCAACCGTGCAGCAGAGGCATTCGCACATGCGGTTTTTTTTTTTTCCTCTCGCAAACATCCTTGTTGTTTTGGTTGCCACGACAACACCCAATCACACTTCGGCTAATGCTAAAAGGCAAAATTCCAGGAGACTCACAAATAACGTTCTATAGAGTGAGGTAGTATTCTCACAAAAGACTAGGCCCGAAGCTCTCCTCTCTTTTAAGTATCCACTGCCAAAGCTGCCTTCGAAGACACTCTTAAAGGGGAGGAAATGGAGAGAAGAAAGCAGAGAATCATGGGACTAAGAGACGAAAAAGCCCCGCCCCCCCCTACACAGTTACCGCTGAAGCTCACCCGGCGCTAAACACAGAAAGCATCGCTGTAGGGGTACACCTTACATGCATTAATGTGTGCGTATCTGTACATGTAACACGGCATGCAGACCTGTCGTGATGGATGTCTGGCCGTTGGAAGCTGGGCCGGAAAACGGACGGGGGAGGGGGGGGGTGGAGGCAAGTCCAGAAAGGAGATTCGGGGTTTGGGGAAGGAGCGGGACTTTAGTAATGGGGGGCGCGCAGTGAGGATGAGGTCACGCACGGAGAAGGCAGGGGGAAGCACGCGCGGCGTCACACCGGGCGACGCTGTCGATGAAATGCATCGTGGGACGTGGCAATGCTGGCGGGAGGCCGGGCCCGGGATGGGCGGAGGATGTAGCTGCGTTTCGCTCAGGTACATGCTTCGTGTTAGCGTTTAGCACTGCTGGTCCACAATCCATGCTAGCCTCAAGTTTCTGTGCAAAGATGGCACTTTGATGGCGGAAGACGTTCTAGCGTGTTAAAAACTGAATTTTAGTTACTTGCATCTTTAGCTAATATATTGAAGCAACCTGAAATTTTTACTCATTTGTACAGCTGAGAATTTCACTAGTGGAATTCAGTACTTGGGTTGGGAACTAACAACCTTGTGGTGCAGAGAGGTGTAGTACTGGCTTTGTTGCCGCAATTATTTTTTTCAGTGGTGTCATCCCCCCCCCTCCCCCGGGCTGTGATGTCATTGTCATGAGCAGGGGTCCCAGCCCTGGGGGTAGACAACCCTAGTCACTTGGGAGATGAACCCAAGTCGTTCCTCAGCTCAGCGCTGTGCGAGGTTCAACCCGAACGGCGGTGGCTTGTGTACACTTAGCACGCTGCCACTGTGACTCAATTTATTAAACATTAATAAACTGACAGGCCACACTCTGGGCAGACACACGCAGACACGGACACACAGAGAGACGCACCGCAAGGCCACACACCAGATACGCATTTCTTTTAATGCTGAGGAAGCCCCAAAAACATTCAAACTAACCAGAAACATGAAGGTACTCGCAGTAATTACACTGATACACATGTAACGCTAAAACCTTCTTCCCATAAGCCACTTGGCAATTAGATTCGGAG